GCAACGACTGCTGAGCAGGCACATCCTCTACCAGAGAAAAGGAACCTGAAGTAGTCTTGTCTACCGCTGAAAATGCACATAGAGGGAACATGTGAATGAGCCTGAAATGCCTGCCCCATGCTCGAAAGGCCGCGGCCCAAGTTGCGGTAACGCCACCACGCCAGTGAAAGAAGGAAGGGGTCCGAAAGGGTCTTCCAAAGCGGGGGGACCTGGCAGTTCTGCCTTGTCACCCGAGTGCGAAAAGCGCCGGCTGATCCATTGCAGCCTGATTCCAATGTTATGAAAATACCGCTGCAATCGCCTGACGCGGAATAGGGCTCCACAATACGTGTTCCGTATTGCGAAAAGACCTAGCCCATAAGGCACTGAATCACACACGGTGTCGAATGCACCAGGAAAGCATGAAAACCAGGTCAGAAAATCATGGCGCCAGGCTACACAAGCTGGACGTGTGTTGAAGCAACGTTATGAAAATCAAAGCAAGCTGAAAGCAACGCAAGCAAGCTGAAAGTAAAGGCCAACCAACATGCTGTTGTGCTCATGAGCGAAAGCAAAGCTAAGCATGCTGGAAACTGCTCATGAACAAATTTAAAGCTAATGCGGTGGCTGTTGCTTGAGCATCCGTGTTGCGTATGCAAGGGTTAACTGAAACACATGTGAGTAAACACACAAACCGTCAAGGTTGAATAACTCGATGTGATTGACAAGGTCCGTTCGATCACACGTTCTGAATGATTGCATAACCAATGCCACCAGCTCTCGTCCCTTCACGATCACTCCTTGTTGGTGTCGTAGTTCCGAATGTCTTGTGACATCGAGGTATACATCCTTAGCTTCGGTATCTGGATCTGCGCATGCACTCAGCACATTCATCAGCAATTGCATCTTCCAGTTATCGAGCTGATGGATCTTCGGCCAAGTGGGAATGGATACCCTTTCAGCCTCTTCCTTGAAATCCTCGGTCTCTCGTTCTTGATCTCACGATCATCCCTCAATCGTCTGAGTCCCCTCCGCGTCCGACTATCTTCTTCTTCTTCTTCCTCGTCTTCCTCATCCTCTTCGTCTTCGTCATCTTCGTCCTCATCATTGGGCGGATCATCTGGAGGTCCTCCCCCACCACCTGTCAGACTCAAATGACGATCGAGGCGTAGTACCGTTGTTTCCTCCTCCATTACCACCACCACCGGTTGTAGTCGTAGGTTGTGGGACTATCCCGACAACCCCTTGCATCTGTGATAGGTGTACATCGATCATCGGATCGCCAAAAGACGGAAAGAGAATCGAACCCGGCATCCATCCATCCATCCATCCATCCATCCATCCATCCATCCATCCATCCATCCATCCATCCATCCATCCATCCATCCATCCATCCATCCATCCATCCATCCATCCATCCATCCATCCCGTGTCGACCACTGACTCTGACTATTTGAGTCAGACTTACTCCCACCGCTGATCTGATGATCAGTTACACACACATGGTTTGAATTATCAGTAGGGCTTGAACTCCTGAGCGGCGGGCCTCGAGGTTTCTGGCCCAATCGTTTCCTTGGCCAAGGTCCCGAAAGGGGTCCGGGGGTCTGTTTCCTTTTGGCGACCTAGCACCAAAGCTAGGCTTGGCGCCACCGTTAAATGTGACCGGCGTCCAATAAAGAGAGTTTGTAGTCATGTGGCTGTGGGTCAAAACCCGTGGTACCTTTTTTGGGTAGGTGAATTCACCACCCATTTTAGAACTTATTTTAGTGGTTAGATTGAATCGGATGTTCACTGGGGGTACGATTTGGCTTTGGATTTTGAGAAATCCATGGCCACGTCTGCGCAAGCGTCTCCAGATCTTCAAACTGGCGAACCACTTCTTCGCCTCGGCCTTGGAGTTTTTCGTGCTGGACGGCTGGGTCACGGAGCACGTCAGGACGCCGCTGGCTTTTTCCGCGCAGGGCGGCGATGGCTTTGGGCCGGCTTTTGGCGTCTGCGAGGGTTCGGAAGATTTTGTTGTGCATTTGCTGCATTTATTTGTTTGGCGGCTTTGAAGGTTTTGAAGGCTGGAGCAGATGGCTTTGGGATGGAAGGAGCAGCGAAGGTACATCTAGAATGGTGGACCGAATGGAGAGATCCGTGGGAAGTGCAACCAACCTGTTGGACATTGAGTGAGGGGCATTTCCCCTTTATTTCCACCCGAATTCCTTAGAGCTTATGGTAAGGGCCTTTATAACCCATTTAGCCCAGTTAGCACCAAGAGTTGAAGGAACTTGCACGCTGACAGAACAGGTTTCTATGCGCCCCCACAATCCAACCAAGGTGGCCCTGACAGTGTTGGTCCCAACCCCTGCCGGAAAATCACACCTGCAAACCTGGGTTCAAGCAGATGGACAGAGCCCAGTGCAAGGCCCTTCAGAAGTAGCGACAGACGGCACCACAATGTTAACCTTTGGTTGAGAAACTTAAAGACCTCCGCTACTATCAAAGGGCTTCATTTGCCCTTCCCCCCAAACAAAACTGATCCGCGTCCAATGGATCCAGGCTTGGGCAAAGTATTGTCCTGGGGCAGCTTTCCGTGATGGCAATTGAAGCCCCTTTGAAGTGATAATGTGTTTTGCGAGATATCCCACTTTGATATCACGGAAATGGTTCCACAACCAATGGATTGATTCGACGGCCAGGATACTGCAAGAGCTGTCAACAATGTACCGCACCTTGCAGTTCTGGGAGAAGGAACCGAATCGAATGGCGGAATGGGCAGGGGTCACTACATGTTTCACTTTTTGGTAGTGGTGTGAGTAGTTTGGCATATTTGCTGGCCATTTTGCATTGGGTTCCTTTGAGTGTGGTGATATGTAACGGGGGCCGGCGGGGGGGGGGGGGGGGTCAACCAAAAAGTGGAGTGTGGCAGAGCCCGTGGAAAAACCTAAAAGAGGTAGGACAGCGACGTTTGAGATTCATTTTCGGGCGTCCAAAAGAATGGTCCATGTATTTGTGTTCCATGTTTTTGTGTCGTGTTGGGCTCAAGGAGGATTTTATGTTACGAAAGAAGTCCTAGGGGAGGTCAGATGCTCTAGCTCAGGTCAAGGCTTGCGTCGAGTGCCAAGCACCGGTTTGAGCATGTTGTCGACAAGGAAGCAGTTTGAAACCATAGTTTGAACCACTAGTTACTGTTACTTCGATTTAAGACTCACGTTTAAATGCACTGCAAGCTGTCTCTCTCTCTCTCTCTCTCTCTCTCTCTCTCTCTCTCTCTCTCTCTCTCTCTCTCTCTCTCTCCCCCACACAGGTTTTACCCTCACACGGACCAGGGTGCGGTTGCGTGAACATATTGTACCCAGCCTTGCTCACGAACCCTCCGATTTTCCCCCCGCCAAAAGCGCCTGCAGTTTCCCCCCGCAACTGTGCCGTTTTCGTGGCCGTTTTCATCGAACTTGGGGACCGGCCAAACACCGAGCCTCCCACCCACAAACGCAGTGGGAGGTTCGTTTGCGGCTCCCTTGGCTCCCTTTCCTTCGAAGGACCCAAAGCGGTCCGCTGCCATGCTCCAGCGGCGGGTTGCCGGGCTCAGTGGGAGTGGTTGGCCCCGATGTGTGAGATGCGTCCCTAACAGATGTTTGTTTGTTTTTGTCCCTGTTTGTTGTGTTCGTGTTTGTGTGTGTGTGTCTCTTCTTTTTTGAAAATGTTATTTCTCTTTTGTTGTGTCTTGTTTCGTTTTGTGAAAGATCTTCCACGTATTGCTTTTTGGGGGTGCCCAAAATGCTGCACTGCTGCATGTCTAGACAAGTCCAGGTCTTTTCAGGTTTTCTTGTTGAAGAGGGGAGCTCAGGAATCGCTTCATTTCCTACGGACATTGGTTGTCAGGAAGCCCCTGTGGGCCTGAGCCCTGTGTTGTCGTTGGGATTCCCGCCTTTGGAGTTCCAGAATGCGGATCATCTTGATTGAGTTGCCGCATTTCTCCCAGGTGAACCAGAGATGGGAATTGCCAACGCGATGTGATGTTTGTTCCGGGACGTTTGTTCGATCCTACAAAGGTTCGGTTGGAAAGCTTTGCAGACTAATCATGTATGAGTCACTGACAGCATGGTTGGTAGTCGGTTTGGAGGGGACATGTGGGAACAACCAGACTTGGCCTTTTTCATGTGCTTTCAGGGAACCAGTAGTAGTGTTGTCCAAGGCTATGTTCAGGTGCTGACTTATCCTCCAGGTTGGTTAGGACCCGACTTAGGTTTGGTGTCGAATTGAACAGTTCAGTGGAGGCTCACAGAAGCATCCGCATGGTCATTGGCCCTGACAGCTTGTAACGTCATGCAGAACCATGACCATGACCCATGGGGAGTTGTCGCCATGGGACACATGGCAACGTTCAGAGCAAAATTTGTTGGAGTCCGGAAAATAAGCGGGAGGCTCAGACAAGTGCCATGTCTCTGGCATCATCTTGGAATCTGCTTTTGGTGTTGGTGGCTGTTCGAGACTTTCACTTGGAGGTATACTGATATACTTGCACCGCGCCTTGTTGGCAGCCAGACGTAAGACGTGCCAGCCATCGGTCGACTTGCCGCAGCCGCGTGGCACTAGACCGGGGGGTCCGATGTGAGTTGCGGTCCAGGCGCGGCGTCCGATGGGCTCAGTCGACGCACGTTGCGCGTTTTGCCGAAACGAATCCACTGATCCGCTGCGTGCCATCCTTCCTTTTACGGATCTGCCCATATCCCCTTGCTTTCAGTTTGGGCAAGAAACGAGGACGGCGAACTTGCGGAGTTTCCCTATCTCGGTTTCGGGTCCCAGACCTTGGTTCCCCGAAACTGGGCTTCCACCAGCCTTTTAGGGGACGGTGATTTGAGCACTCGCTTCTTTTCGTGTTTCTTTTTCCTTCGGTGCGTTTCACGTGCGGGTTTTGTGAGATGGCTGTGGCTCAAAAAACCGGCACCCCAAATGGAACCCTGGTAAGTGGAAACAACCCCACCTGTTTAACGTTGAGCCACACCCAGATGTCCAGTCTCGGGCTTTGCCAGGCCATGGACCGCAGAGGAGCCGACGGGAGAGTGGGTAGGGACGGGGTCTGTGCGGTCTGTGTTTCTGTATGGCGTTTTTCTAGGTCCCTGTTCTTCAGCTTGGGGACACCAAAAGAAGCCACCCGATTTTTTTTGGCTCCCCCCCTTTGGGTGCTTTTTGGGCGCACCGCTTTGGGGTTATGTTAAAGGGACATCAAAAGGAAGCCATCCATTTGAGGGGTTCCCTTGGTTTGACAAGCCCTACGCACACAGACTGCTCGGTGTGTGCTGCTCTGTGAAAAATTGGACTTGACAAGGATGATTGAATCCACAGGTGGGACTTGGTGATCCCAAACAACAAGTGCCTCCTTTTGGTGGTTCTTAATCCAATCTGGAGAAGAAGTTCCTGTAAATTTCAGCCCTTGTCATTGTTTGGAATCAAGAAACCGGCTCTGCTGTTTGGTTGGACCGTTGACAAATTGCTAGTTTTGACGCACACATGCCCCTGATGCAGCCGAAAGGGATTTCATGGCCGACTGCGTAATGGGGGCGTCTTTGTCGATGCCGCCTGTTTTAGCTTGCCTTCTCGGAGACCAACGGGGAAACCACTGAACTCTTGCGCTCCTCAACAAGGTTACCACTTTGAATGGTATTCCTTCAGTTGGAAGCAAATCACAAATTTGGAAGCACGTTTTGAGCCATACTAGGAGACCATCGCAGAGACGACCGCTGGGGCCGGGAGGAGGCGGTCGCATCCCCCGCTTGGAGTTGGGGAAACGTTTTGGCCAATCCGCTGCGAATTTGTTTTGTCCATTTGGCTGCCCTGGAGTCCAAGAACACGGCGGCAAGTTTTTAGTTTTTTTTCTCTTCTTCTGGACTTGTGTGTCAAGATCGCTTGGATCCTTCCATACTTGGCTTCCCTTCGGCGTCCTTTCAATATCGCACCAAGGGGCTTGCTAGTTTTGGCACATGCCGTACTCGTTTGTGTTGCCAGTCTGGCTCAGTTCCTTTGCGCCACCAATCCGCCTCTCCTCCGTTTCTGTCACTTCCTAGCTCCGGAATTTGCGAGGAAAGAGGTGGGGAAGGGAACGGAGTGGATGACTCTCTCCCTTTGTACGTCCGGTACCTATGCATGACTTCAAGGGTCGTTCCTTGCCTGGCCGTGAGGGGAGAACTTGTGTGTGAGCGAGGGGTTTGGAGCAGATGCAGCAGGCACCTGTCGTTTGTGGCTTCGCCGGCGGCAGTTGCTGGAGTTTGGGGCTGATGGCTGAAGCCCAAATGGGCTGGTGTTTCTGGGTTTCGAAAGTGGCTGCAGTTTGAGGTGGGCTCTCAAGTTACTATTGAGATGGGTCCCTGTGTACTTTTGACTCTCCTTTCAGCTCAGGTCATTTAGCTCAGCTGAGCTTGGGGAGCTCAAATGGACCCAGAGACTTCTTGGCAGCCAGGTGCGGCGAGGGCGGCCTGACGACCGGCGAGGCGAAGGGCCGGAGAGCAGCTTCTGTGAGGATCCCCTTTCAGAGTGGTTTGAAAGGGACACCAAAAGAAAACCAACATCTTCTTGGGTTACCTATTTTAAGACACGACAACAACACTCACTTCTGTTTCCTGGACTTTGAACGTTTTGGGACGGGCAGTAGGATTTGGCTGGAACTGCGATTTGCTGCGTTCATAATTGCAAGCTGCACACTGACCTCGGATTGTGGGTAAACCCCATCAAGCAACTCCTGAATTTGGACGCTTCCTTTTCTTCGACTTGCTCAAAGCGGATATGACCAAACAGATTGAGATGTCTTTCAATGCTGGGTGTCTATTTGGGTGATGCACATCTGGTGGCACCCGATTCATTTTGGGTCGAGCTGGGTGACGCCACAATCAAAACTCGGGAACAAGATGAAGAAGGTTAGTGGCAGAACCCCACCGGAAATCGGTGTGGCTCGTTATGGATGTGACACCTTCCGAATGCCAGGTGACCGCGGCCGCGACGCCCGCGACGCCCGCGACCCCCGCGATGCGCGCGATGCGCGCGATGATCGGGACGGCCGCGAGGGCCGCGAGGGCCGCAGGTGGGGGCAACAGGAGGCGCGCGGGAAAATGCCCACACCGCCAAGGTCAACTTGGTTTTTGGTTGAGTTGGTCTAACAAACCGGCAACCTTGGAGGATATAGGAGTCCATTTTAGGTCATTTTGGATCCCAGTGGTTTGAGTTTGTGTCCATTGTGTCTAATGCCATCTATTCAAAAAAACATACCTAGGGGCAGGATACGCATTCTGGTCTTTTCTCTTTTGTTCGGGCTTGGGCCATGCCGGGCCCTCATTTTTGACGCCCTGAAACCAGGTTTGTGGGTGAAATTGACGCGGGGACCTTTGGACATGATCTGCACCAGAATTCGTGCCTTAAGTCAGTGTTCCCCATCAGGAAGCGAAGTTAAAACGATCCAGGGAGGAGGCAAGCCTCCATGATTTGTGATCTCGCCAGCAGGCAATGTAGAGGACGCCTCACCCATTAAACAACTGGATCTACTAGTAAAACTGACTGTTGCTGTGCCTCGTGTTTTTTCCATTGACCTGTTGAGTCGGCTGCCAAAAATGAGGTTTGGTGAGGCGCATGCTTGATCAGGTGAGGAGAGAGCCGCGGGGCTATCGCGAGGAGCGCCGAGGCGCGGAAAAGGGTTCGATCGATGGCCTGAATCTGAGTGGCCTTATGTGACTTCTTTCATACAGATGGCTACATCCCGGCAGAGCGGCCAAGTAATCTTGGGGATGGGAATTGCATTTCGCTATCACAGAATCCGTGTAGGTGTGTCTTTTTGGGGAAGGACCCCCCACCCATGAAATCAGGCTTCCCCTATATCCAGCAGATTAGCAGTATCCGCTTCGATTCTGTTCAGGGATCCTAAAACCCAGGGAAAAGGGCGAGCGAAGAGCATTGGGAATCAAGCTTTCGACTATTCGGGTGGTTCGTTTAAACCATAAATTTCGGATTACCCGCCCTGACACATACTACAGAGGCCAACATAATTAGAACAGGGCTTTGAATCCCTAAAGAACAAGTTTGGAGTAACTCTTGGCAATCAGCAATTGTTTAGTAGCATTGGAATCATGGCTTGGTTGTACATAGTTATTTGGCCATGGGTCAAAAAGGCGACTAAGACCTGGGGGTCCCCTGGTGGTTCTATTTTGGCTCCATGCTTGGAGCCTCTCGGCCGAGACCACGGGTACCGCGACGGCGACCGAGAAGAGTGGCGCCCTGAGGCGTGGCTTGACGTGACTCGGCTCCCAGCCATCCGGTTCCTTAGCTTTTTAGCCTTTTAGTGTGTGGCAGTTCCATGTAACCCACTAAAAGTTATTCACTTTTAGCGGCGGATCTGAGGGCAGCCCAGGAAAGAATTGATCATTTTTAGGAACAGCTCTCTATTGACTCACTGTGTATTTGCACATTTTGTTCTGTCGAATTGGTTGCTCTGTTTTTGTCTAGTTGTTGTCTAGTTGTTTTGAAGACCTGACTCTTCCTCATTCTGGGACAAACTACGGCGTCCTTGGCCCCCAAGCGAATACTTTGAATCTCGTCATGTACTGATCCTCAAAGTTTCAATTCTTTTGCGTGCCTATCACTTTGAGTGGTGTGGAGTTTGACACTTTGGAGCGGCCCTCGCCCGCGTTTGATACTCTGTCCAAGCGCTTCGACCGAGCAAATGGAAAACGGCATACTTGCTAAAATCAACAAATCGACCCAGTGGGTGGAAGGTTGATGTCAGTCGCTTGGGTCTCTTTGGTAATCTTTTTGATCGCTGGCCTTGCCTTGCCTTGCCTTGCCTTGCCTTGCTTGCCTTGCTCTGCTTATCTGAGCTTCGCCTTTGCTTTGCTTCCTTCTTGCTTGCTTGCTTGCTTGCTTGCTTGCTTGCTCGCTTACTTGCTTGCTATGGTCGTTTGTAGATCATTTTTGGGTTGGTGGAGGAACATGAGTGTTTGGGGCCATTTTCCATGACCGCGTTTTTTTGGTTGGTTTGCATGCTCCTCGGAGTCCCGCAACGCAACTCCTGCCAGGACCGCCAGGACCGCCAAGACCGCCCGGGCCGGCGGGAGCCCCCTCCGCCGCGGGAGCGCTCCCGCAGTGTGCGCCAGGAGCGGCCAGGCGGGGTGACGTCTTGCCGTGCCAGTGGCCCTTGTCCCTTCGGGCGGAATTTTCGCGTTCTCCGTGATCCAATCGCAGAAGAAGAAGTAACCATGCAGTGCACTTCGAGCAGTGAATCGCCAAAGCAACTATGTAGTGCACTTCGCAGTGCTGGGCTTGGGTTTCCCTTCAACAGCAATCTGTGGTAAAAAGGTAAGGGATGAATTCCCCAGAACATTGTGAGACGAGATCCCATGATGAAGGTCTTTTTCTGGGGGTGGGGGTTCCCCTATTTCCAGTTCGGAATTTTACGCAAATTGCCCAGCCATCTTTTTCCGTTTTAGGGCTGAGATTCCCTTCAAACTCAACCAGCCAGAATTGGTTGCTCGTGTTTTCCTCTTGCCAACTCCCCTGGTGACTAAGGGGGGGGGGAGCCTATTTGAGAGTGAATGCGGATCACATAACGCCCCCCTATTTGTCCAAGATATTGATTTATTCGGGCTCGAAAAGGACCTATTACTCCGACTTTGCTAGCCCTCTTATATTCTTCTTCATTTGTGGGGAATGGGTTTGCTAGTCAGGAGGTTGCTCAAACTATGACGGTTTGAACATGTTCAAACAGGAAGGTTTCCGAGAAGCCAACAGTGCATGGTGGTGTCAACCAACATGCAGGGGCTTTGGCGAGTTATGTGGGGAAGCCGAAAGACATCTTCCATGAGGATTGGTAAAGGTCCTTGAAACGCTTGGCATAAGGAGAACCGTCGGACCAAGTGACGTCCGAAGTTGCCGTTTGTGTTTGGGTCTCTGAGGGCCTTCGAAAAGGAAGGCCATGTTTTCCGGATCTTATATGTTTGCCGTCCGATGAAATGCTTGCGCAACAGATTTGGGCCTGTTACAGCTTTAATGACACAGATTGCTTCTCTCCGACTTGTTTGAAAGTCTGGCACCATGGCCTTTCGGGATTCGTATCATGGGCCGTTGCTTGCCTTCCTGAGTAAGGCGACGCCCGGAGCAGCCTTCGTTTTTGTGGTTGTTTTGTGGTCTACGGGAGCGAACCAAGGGGAAGGTGGTTTTGATGGCGAGCCGTGGCTTCAGTTTCCCCTCTTGGTACATTTTGCTCGCCGCTCGCGTTGCAAGGGAAGGTCCAAGCCCAGGACCTTTCGATGGTATTCCGTCCTGCAACCCACCAGGTCTTTTTGAGGAAAATGGTCTTCCTGACCATTTTCCCGAGACCGATTCCCCTATTTCTGCCTGAGGCGCGGCACGAGAGGTCCGGATCCAGGCGCGGAAGGAGGAGGCCTGGCCCGTGCTTGCCGAGTCCCGTACCCTGAAAGAGGCACTCATTCTTGAGGTGATCTCCAATGATAGTTGTTTCTTCTTCTGAGTTGTGAGGTTCTATCGCGAGAAAGCAGCCAATTCCACCAAATCGTATCTTCAAATGTGCACTCGCTAGTTTCCGTTGCTCCACGAATCATGTCAGTTCAGGCAGGCGTAATGGTCCTGGAAGACTAGCAGAGTACCCATGCTTGACAGTTCTGAGGACTCTTCTTTCTTCGGGTTTTCGTTGTTTTTAAGTGGGAGGGGGAGATGGGGGATGATCCGGGTTTGAACTTGGCAAACGGGCCAGGGACGAGCTTGAACATCAAATGCCGCGCCAAACAATTTCGCCAGGAGCAGTCCAAACCGAGGGCTCTGATTCTCAGCAACTCGTTCTTATATGATGATGAGCATTGTGACAGCATCCTGGTGATAAAGTCATCCCTATGCATCCCAGCATCGCCAGTGATGATAATCGTCGCTATGCATCCCCTGCATGTCAAGTCGGGTCAAGCAAGGTGCTGTGGACACTGCCGCTTCGGCGTGGCACGGAACCGTTGCCAGAACAGCTCTGCCCGCCATGTGCGCCAATTATTTAGGGTGAGCGGGGCAGATCAATTTTGGATGGGACGGCTGGACAAAAAAGGGCATGGGTTGCTATGAAAGGAAACTGTTTCAACCATCCCGGCCAATTTGGTGCATCGCCGCGGCAGGAGAGTAGCTATAGTCAGGCGCGGCTGTGAGTGGCCTTCCGGGGAGTGGGGGCTTTTTGTGCGCACCATATGGTTTTAGGGCTACCAAGGGAATCCCCTTGAAAGTGATAACGGGCGAGAAAGCTTTAGGGCCACTTTCTGCAATACCCAGGAATCCCCTTGCACCTGCCAGCATGGTTATGGGGATGGCTCACTTTGGTTGGCGCAGAACGGACTTATTCGGGCTCACCCGTCGCTGTGGTCCAGGGCGAGATCTTTGTAGATTTGCGCAAGTTGTCGCGACGCGCAAGCAGGGTTTGCGACCTGAAACATGACGAGAGTTCCTATCCTTGGGTGCCCGTAGTAGCCTGGTAGTCGAGCGCTGACACCTTCTTTTGATTTTTCCATTGCAAGCAAATTTTGACAGTGCAATGGTTTTTGTTTGCTAGCTTACCTGCCTCTTCTAGCATATTCTCCTTAAACTCTGTGTGTCAGCATGTCATGTTTCTTAGCATAGGTGCCAGCATCCCTTTCGCGCGAATCACGTTCACCTTGCAGCTCATCACACTTCCCAATCTCATCATGTCAATCGAACACGGGTTCCAGTTTGGATCGCTAGACGAGTGTCAGGCAGAAAAGCGCAGTCGGCCAGGCCACTTGCTTCCTTGTGCAGGTCAAGAAAAGGAAGAGGGTCAAGAAGAACAGGATGGGTCAATCAAAAAGGAGCTGGGGGTCGTCAACAGAAGCTGCCTCGGTATCACAAAGCTATTACACAAAAACAACCAAGCAAACACCTCGCTTTGAACTTCCTCATGGGGGGGGGTTGTCAATATTAGAGATCCTTTTAGGTATTCCCTGTTTGAAAGGCGCACAAGGTGGCGCCCAGGTCCAACAAGGTGCCATTTGTTTGAGTCTCCCTTGAGTTGGACCCGGCACTCAAGCCCAGAATTCGGGCAGGATGAGCCGCCGCCCAAGAAGGAGCCGAACCGAGGCGGGAGGGGGGGGGGAGGTGAGGAGGGAGGGGATTTCCACACCCCAAACCACTCCCAGACAACTTGCATGGCACACAGTGGCTGCATATTTTATGGAACCCCAGGAGGTGGTTGGGAGGGAATCATCTTGGATGAGTCGAGGATGCGAGCTTTCGTCCTGTCAATCCCGGATTGATCAACCTGGCAGATCAATAGGCCCCGAAAAAGTGACACCTTGTGACGCCACATGATGCATGACACATGACTCATGCCACATGGCATCTGGCTTATGACACCTGTTACATGGCACAGGGCCATGGTGAAGGTCTCTTACTTGGAGATTCCTGATTTTCAGTTTGCATTGTATGCCTTCTGTCGGTTCTGCAAATGTCTGAAGTGCTGGTCGGAACAATTGCAGGTTACAGCGCCTGCGAAGAGTTCAGATCATCCAGCAGGGTTCCTGCCGTTTGGAAGCTCCACAGAGATGTGTTTTATTTGCCAGGGTGAGAACCCCCCAACAGGACACGTCTCATTTTTTTTGGGTGCCTTGGGTTTTTGAGACGAACCCATTTGGGTATGGGTCAAAATACACCTACCAGGGGATCGCAGGTTTTGGTCTTTGGTTCCATTTATCAGGGTTCCATTTTGGGTACGCATTTTTGACCATTTGGCAGCCAACTTGGCGCAGGTGAGCCCGATGAGGAGGAGGAAGAGGAAGAGGCGCTCCTTTGTTTCAGAAAGAATAGGGAAATCCGTCTATTTTCAACCTAAAGGACACCCAGGGACTTCGTTGGCCCGGTTCAACAAAGGGAAATAGGGTGGGGCACGATTCCCGGCCCCTTGAAAGGAAAACCTAGAAGGAGGTTGTTTAAGAAGGTGTTTCAACAAGTGTAAACAAGGGTTGGCCCCCGCCCTCGAAAACGCGAAGCCAACCACGGGCGGATTTGGCGAGTTCCAAGCGGGTTGGGGCAGGGATTGATTTTGGAGGTTGAGACTCAGCAGTTTCCAGTGGTTTCATTTCGGTTTCAATTCCCAGCGCTCCCGTAGATTCCTCCCACGGGGTGAAAGTTCCAAACCCCTGGATGTGTTGTCCATTTAACAAAGCCCGCCAGAAGAAAAAAATGTTAGGACCTACAGAATCCACCATCATACAGTGAGGGTTCTTTTCTGTTTCGCTCCCAAAAGGGAAAGGACGGCAACTTAGATGGTCCGGGAGTGGGTAGTACGCCTCCATCACCCACCAGTCAACCCCGAAAACCTTCGCAGGGGGGGTTACTACCATTCGACCATTCGGGTGTGGTTTTTTGAGGGTACCCTGCTCAGCATGGTTTCAAAGGGACACCAACAGGAAACCTCACCTCGGTCCAAATTTCCACGAGCCACGCCCGTTATGACCCATCCGCAGGCCTGCGAGAGCGCGGCGCCGGTTTCTGCGAAGCAGAAGGCGCCGCAGGCGGAGTCGGAGCTTTTGGGCCATTTGGGGTTTGCTCAAAACGGCAGGAGACACCCCCCCCAACAAAAAGAGGGGGGGGGTCCAAATCCTAAAACTGGATGTGCTTTTTCCTTTCGGGGGGTGGCTGGATTGATCTGGTTGATAGCCCTTGCTTTTTGGGACTCCCCGTCTGCAAGCTGCTACTTGGGCAAAATCAGTATGGCTCCCAGAATGGGTGACACCAACTGACAAATGTCCTTCTGGTTCTTCTTCAAGCACCATCCAAGAGGGAGTCCCAGTTTTGACAGATTGGAGATTGCAGACATTTGCATAGACCCGCAACTTCACTGGCCAAACCATGGGTCTCAAACTATCTAAATATGAGAACCCCCTGTCAGATGCTTCAAGTCAAACAGTCATGGGACACCACTGTCGCCACTTCCTTTGGTTTATTCTAAGAAGTTTCCCATGTGGTAGCTGCAGACGTACAGGAATCAGACTTGCTTGATCATTTGACACTCATCAAATTCATTCACGGGTCCATAAGGCGGACGGCACATGGCAGTGCCATGATTGCGGCCGCCAGTATCCATCCCCAACTTACCCTCCCACGTGCGGAATTTGGCTCAGTGAAGGAGGTGCGAGGCCTGGATCGATCTAAGTCCTTTGACGTGGAAAGTCCCCAGATTTGTTTTGCGGGGATCCTTCCTTTGGATGAGATGGACTCAGTTGATCAACCCTTGCCTCAGGCCTCCGCACCTCCGCCCAAGGCCTTTTGGGCGGGAGGGAGGTCGGTTGAGGCGGGTGTTGCTGCCTTTCTGGAACAGAAATGGCCAGTATTCTTTCCTTCTCATTTTGGTGTTTGGTCTTTGTTCTTTCCCGAGGAGCCAGTCGGACGAGTTTGCGACTGGAAAGGGTCCGAAGGGTTTTGTTTGACGCGTCCTCCTTCGCCCCCTTTTCTCTCCCACATGTGCTCGTCTTTTTGGCTGGCGGGACCTCCCTTGGAGAGGGCACCAAACACCCCGAGTTGCAACCGGTGGAATGGCTCAATGAATAGCTCAATGCGTTCGGCGGACCTCGGGGAGTTTTTTTTTCTGGAAGGGCCGAGGATGATGGTTTGCTTTCGATCTCACATGGAAGCAAAATAAACTGTTGTGGCTGGCTTGAAGCCCACTCCAGTTGCTTGGCCGTGGCCCAGCTCCACGCCGTAAGACGGAAGCAGACCCAGCTGCATCGCCCGAAACACAGTCGACTTTTTGCTCCCACTCGAGGCTTGCATGCCTTTTTGTTTTGTGTGTTCGTGTGGGGGAGTTGGATTGGGATCTTAGGCAAAGATGTGATTCGAACCTGCAGCTATAATTCAAGCTGTTTTCAACAAACGCCTTGGCGGCTTGTTTCTTGTCTGCGTTTGACCTTCCCTTCGTGCCCCACAGAAACGAAGCACGCGGGCCAGTTCTCGCAGGGTGTAAACTGGAGGCGACCCTCCAAGTAATTGGTTTCTTTTTGGATTCCCTTTCAAACCTTTCCAAGGGGGCAACCCTATGGGAGTCGGTTCGCTACGATGGCCACGGTTTCCTTCGATTTTCCCTTGAAATACCAATCAAAAGGGTCCACCATTTTGAGGAACACCCATTTGGAGCCCGTTGTTTCTTGCCTCAGGTGATCGCGCCGCCTCTGCACGTGAGTGGGTGCCAAAACGACACCATCAGCGACATCATCGCCGCTCGGCCCGGTGAACGCCGCGGTTGCCTTGGCCCTTCCCCCCAAAACGATACGCGGAGCGGTCGGCATTTTTCGAGGTTCTCCACGGCTTCTCTTGGGGCTCCTTTGAGTTCTGAGGCCACCAACGTGGGATGTTGAGGGTCTAGGCCAACTGAACCGAGTAGGACGCAAACAAAAAAATAATACATGCCGCCGGAAGGATGGCCGCACACAAACACAGGATTCTTCAACATTACAGCTAGTTCTTTGATGAACCGCTGCGATGCGACATGGCTCCGATGGGAATCTAGGCTGGGGTCTACGTGCCGGACACCATGAACCACGGCAAGGTGGTCTACAAGAAGCAAGAGAAGTCTCGAGGCGCCGTTTTGTAGGAGATGAGCAAGCATTGCAGGATCAAGGCTGTAGAACAACATTTCCTTGTCCAGAGGCCCCAATAGAAACATGGATTTCCCCCTGGCTCCCAGCAGGCATCGGGGATCCCCGGAATAGGGCGTTTGGTGTTGGAGTTGTCCACGTACTTCTCAGCAGTCCTCTCAGTTTGCGGCTCATCCATCGCGGAGGTCTTGACGTGCTCATCTACTACTGGGATGACCGGGACGGCTTGGGGCCCTAGGTGCGGAATGCCGTGAATTGCAAAAGCAGCCAAGTTCCAGAATCACTCCAAAATCAGCCAAATCACAGAACCCCGCAAGCTTCCTTTTTGCCAGATCACCCGAGCTCCCCGTTTGGTTGGGTGAACGGGGTCCCGCTGCACGTGTTCCTTCGAAGCGCAACTCCTGGCACCCACCATATGCTAGCAAGACATTCGCGCGTCGCGGCCCGAGTAGCCCAAAATCACATGCCCAAAGCCCAAACAGAGGTTTTGCAAAGTAGAACCAGCGCGTCAACGGGTTTTGGTCACCTCAAAATAGGACAGAATGGCGCGACTGTCTCGCCGACCTTCCGCCAATGGATCAAGAAGCTTGAGCCTGAGGCACAGGGATGGATAAATCTGGGGGATGGGATGAACCAAGTTTCCAGGTGAATGGTTGCCCTCTCACTGTTAGCTATCCATGTCCCAGAAACCCCCTTGGCCTTTTTGTTGTTGTTGAGGTCCCTTTAAAAATCAAAGGGACGGAGACCCCTACCCAGCGTTGTTTTTTCTCGTTTTTGGGTTGAGCTTCCTTTGAAAAAGCAAAGGGGAACAAGAAAAAAAGTGGCCTTTGATGTTCCGCGGGACTCGGCTCGCCGAAAAAACCCTCTCTGAGGTCCGGAGCTCTGCGGCTGGTGGTTCGGCCCCAACGTGGGTGGCGACCAGGCGAGGTTGCCGACCGCAGCGGGCGGAGCCTCCGAAAACCCGGCGGTTTCTTGCCGCAGCAGGCGACGAGTGTTTCTTCTTTTTTGTCTTCATGTTTTGGTTGCTTTGTGCCAGCCGGCGATTCTAAGATGTTCCCGAAACCAAGTCTGTGTCGTTGATAGCCTTTCAAGCCTTGCAAATGGTTGGTTGAGGGATCGTCCTTTTTTTTTTGGCGGAAAGCTGAAGAGGATCTGGGGCATGTTGCCCCTCAAAAGTTGCTGGTGGACATAAGTCCGCATGTAAATGATGTCCACCGAAGGGTTCCGAATCAAGCTTCATGCCCACATCCTGTGACAGCAAAGGCCTTCCATGAAAAACAACTTGTTTGGCTGCTTCAGGAAAGTATTCGAGCACAGGTTCCCAATTTGTTTGAGAAGAAACTGAGCCATTTGCAGCATCGTTTTCCGCTTGGACAGTGCTGTGTGTTTTTCCTATTTGGCACAATGCCTTCGAAGAAAGACAGCAAAAGGGTCTGGAAGAGGTTGATTGCATTTTTTGAGAAGCAGCGCCCTGGAGCAAATTCGATCAGCTCGACACGGCAAGGACTGGGGATGATAACGAGCTCACGGGTAAGTCGAGCGATTTCCTGGAATGCGCCTCCATTCCCTCGAGTTGCCCACACAAAGGGAGTTGTGCCACCTGCTTTTGCCCTGGAGTAATCCCGCCTCTTTGTGAAAGATTATGACTCTGAAATTACAAGGGATGGTAAAAGCGGCGTGGAACAAGTGTTGGGACGCCAAATTAGTGGCGTTTAGTCCGGCCGAAGAGAGGAGGATCTGGGCAGCAAGCCCGCGTGTGTTTTGAGGTACCCTTTTCACCTTGAAGGCACACCGAAAAGCAAAACCTTATATGTTGACAAGCTTGTGTTGATCCAAAAAAGAAAAAATCCTTGTGTTGATCCAAATTCAAATCCATAGATTTTTTTGGCTCGCGCGTTGGGAGCCTTCAGGTCTGGGCCTACCACCCCAGCCGAACCGCCGGCACGCCCCCCGCCTCGGAGTGGAACGTGCCCCACGCCGGGGCCCCCGGGATGTGAACGCTAGGCTCAAATCCCGTTGACTAAAACAGGGGCAATGAGTTAGTAGGATTTGCTTCGGGAAGTGGAGTGCGCCGGAAAAAGGGGCATAGAAGGAACTTGGGTCGCTGCGAACCGGTCCAGCAACCAAACCACATTGGGTTGAACATTGGTAGAAGGGGTGCTTTGGTGTGCGGGAGGGGACTTGAAAGATTGGTTTCTTGTTGGTTTCCTCCCAACGTTTCATCAGGTTAAGACCGAAATACTCCTTGGGTGCCAGATTTGTTTGCGAGGAAAAAGCCTCCATGGCTTTCGAGCAGCTTTGCTGCAGGGCAGGATCCTGTTTGCTGGCAGACTGCCTCATCCATGGGAGTTCGAGCTTTGCTAGGAAAGAGAGGCAGTGCAAAGCTCGGGTGAGCGGATTGTATGGCTTGTGACTTGTGTGATGAAACAGAATGAGCCTTGGATGCACTGCATTGGTTGGTGGTGCGCACCAGGATATCAGACTAGCACAACTTCCTCACCGTAGGATGGCCAGGTGCAGTCAACAGGGATGGATGTCACTGTCAAAGGGCGTGTCTGTGCGGACCCCAAATCTGGGGATTGTTTGTTTCCCTTAAAACCAAGGTGAACAGCGTACCCCAAGAAACATCAACCCACAAGCCACGGCACACATGAAAGGGAAGGCTTTTGAAGGCAGAACCGGGAAAGTGCTTCACGCCTTTTCCCTCAAAGGACCGGGAGTACAGTTGCATGACTGGACGAACGGAAGGACATCTTTTGTGGCTGGCACCGAATGATGGTGGCCCTTAGTTTCCAGACACTGAGCAACAGGTGTTGCTCAGCGCTATCCTGTATGGTTGTCGAAAACTTGGGTTTAGGGTCCACGTTCTGTGACACGGGGATCTCCTTCCATTTTGACAATGTAGGCACAGGGATGGCCCACTTTATCACAGAAAGGGGCCCATTGGCCACAGTATCTTTTCAGTTCGGCGAAGTTGACACGCTGAGCCGCCTTGGCTACCTGGACATGATCTCATCAGAACCACCTCTGAGGTTCCATGCTCGACAGTCTTCCCCAATTCAGACGCGTAGGGAGGGTGGTTCTACCCAATTCTTTTGGAAGGTTCCAGATGGGTGCGTGTTTTTAGGAGGGTACCCTTTTAAGGCTTCAAGTTGGAAGGCGAGAGAAAAAACCCGAGGCCTAGGGGTCGCTGTCTCCCTGCCCGAATGGTTCAGGATGGGGACATCGACAGCACCTTCCGGGTGTCTGCTCTGCGAACCGGGGGCTCCGGAACTGGGGGCTCCGGCAAAGGCGCCCAAAAAGCCTTGGCTGGGCAAGGGTCGGCTGGGGCTCGGCTGGGGCTGGTCAAGGGAAGTACTCAAAGGCTCACTGGGTGCGAAACTTTATATATACATATATTTACCAAAAAGGAAGCCAAGAGAGGGATGGGTCATTTTCAGATGCGTGTTCCAGACCCTCTGTACACCAGGTTGAGGCATAAGAAGAGACAGGGGCGCGTGAAACGAATCAGGTCAGTCTGCGCAATATGCACCCTTGAGCCAGGCCCTGCCAAGGGCATCAAGGGTGTCCTGTGCCTACTACTTTGGAGCTCTGGGATTTAGAATCCCCGAACAAATGAGAGTGGTGTTCTGTTCACCTGCTGTGACGTTGGACAGGCGCGTTGCTCGAGTTCTGTGCGTCTTGCTGTCCTCCAGCAGAAAGTACTTCCGCCATTATTTTGTACTCGGTTGTTCGCTTGCCAACACAAACCAACCTCGATGGGTTCTGAGGAGTTTTGTACAGAAGGACCCCTGGAAAGAATGGACTTCTGGACCTGGGTGGGAGCAGAAGTTTGCGCAAGCTCCATGTGGGTAAGTCAAGGGATGAAACCAAAATGGCATTGTGGCTTGTGGGTGAGTGTTTCTTGGGGGTGTTCACCTTGGTTTTAAGGGAAGCCAACAAACAGTCCCCAGATTTGGGGTCCGCACAGACGCCCGTTTATTTTGACATCCATCCCTGTTGACTGCAGAATTTTACCTCCCGAAGGCCTTGTGGTCTTCTGGGTCTGTTGCGCCTTTGTTGAGTCCAGCACATAAACCACAGCCATCAAGCCTTCCCTGAGCCTTGGTGAAGTTGAGCCAGGGGATCACAAGTTTATCCTTTCTAATGTGCTGTTGCACTTGCTTTTTTGTACATGCGCGGGTGTCCCGAAATTGGGGAACCTCTTTGGATGTGCACCCCAAAACCAACAGGAAGCCGAACGCCATTGGGTGTCCAATTTCTGTTTAGGACAGAGGTGCTTCGGTGCTGAATTAGATCTACCTCGGCCCTTTTTCCCAGGGCTTGAACCTCTGAACTTCCTTTGGGAACTTCGAACTTCCCACACTTGGCAGTGTCCATGAAAAACCCGCGCCAAGCCAAGTCGCAGCTTTCGAAGGCGAGAGCCACAGTTTCCAACGGTCCAGGTGCGCCGCCCGCACCGGCCCCTCGGCGGGGGGAGCCTCAAGGCGTGGTTGCGTGCGCGCCTGCGGGTGTGGGTATGTATATATGTATATATATACGTAATATATATATATATATATGTACATATATATATGTATATATATATATATGTATATATATATATACATACATACAATATATATATATATATAGATATATGTGAATGTGTGGATGCGTGGATGTGCGTAGTTGGAAGAGCACGAAGGAGCAGTCTTGTTTCTTCATTGTAAGGGGAAGATACTTTTGGATCACGTCATGAATTCTTGCTTCTTGTTCAGATTCAAGAGTCCTTTTCCGAGTGCCAGCTGTTGACCTACAGCAAACTGGCAGTTTGCATTTTATGTAATGAGCCTATAGTTTGAAAGCCTCAAATTCGCAATAGTTTGTTCGGTCGACCTCCCCTTTTTCCTGGGGCTTTCTCAAACCAGACATGGCAACGTGTTCCTCGCGGCTTCCTTTTTCACAACCAAAGGGGGTCCGAGATCCTTTCTGAGCACCTGCCATTGCCCTTTTCGTGGGTTTTGAACATGTTACGTCCTTTTGGTTTCCTAGGTCCCCCAGTAATGCCCTTTTATCAACTGTTTTGGGGGAGGGTTCCCCTACTCGACTACAGAAGAAAAATCGGGTACCAACTTGTTCCAACCTCTCAAATCTGGACCTAGTGACCTAGTTTCCCTTATTCCCCCTCAGTAGTTTTGAAGATGTCACGCCCTTTTGGTTTCCCTTGGAAACGACTTGGACCCTTCGTTCCATTCCGTGGCTTCGAGAGCCCGGAGCCAGGCGAGGCCAGCCCAAGGAGCCGGCCCAGGGAGGCACGGGCGCGAGAGGCCGGGCAGATCCGTTGGGATTGTGTTGTGTTTTGTTTTGTTTTGTTTTGTTTCTGTTTTTGTTTTTGTGTTTGTCTTGTCTTGTCTTGTCTTGTCTTGTCTTGTCTTGTTTTGTTTTGTGTTGTGTTGTGTTGTGTTGTGTTGTGCTGTGCTGTGCTGTGCTGTGCTGTGCTGTGCTGTGCTGTGCTGTGCTTTGCTTTGCTTTGCTTTGCTTTGCTTTGCTTTGCTTTGTGTTGTGTTGTGTTGTGTTGTGTTGTGTTGTGTTGTGTTGTGTTGTGTGGTGTGGTGTGGTGTGGTGTGGTGTGGTGTGGTGTGGTGTGAATGTTCTCGGATTTGCGTGGGGCGTAGGTTTGGTTTTGTTGGCACTGTGGTGTGTTTGCAGTTTGATTTGTAGCTCGGTGTCTTGGCATTGTATGTATTCTTTGTGTGCTTTCTTTATATGTTGTGTGCATGATGTGTATGCCTTGTATGTAAGCATTATTTGTAGGTAGTGTTTCTGTAGATATTGTTTCTGTATGCATTGTGTTGTATGTATTGGTTTTTATGCATCGTCAGTTTGCTGGTTGTTTGGCATTGGTTTGGTTTGTTTGCGGAGGTAGCTCCAAGGGGAGTGGGTATAAAGTAGACATATTTGGGTTCTGTACGGCATTTTGGGAGGCCCACAGTTTTCTTTCTTGTTTGTGCGTGAATTTGTTGGTCATTTGTCAGGCTTGTATGCTTTCTTGCATTGTTGTTTTCTTTCTTTGTTTCTTTGTATGTGTTTTTTTGTTTTTTTTTGCTTGTTTTGTCTGTTTGTTCTGTTTGTTTTGTCTGTTTGTTTCTTTGCGCGTTTGTTTGTTTTTGGTTTGTTTGTTTGTTTGCTTGCTTGCTTGCTTGCTTGTTTGCTTGCTTGTTGGTTTGGTTTGGCTTGTTCTGGCTTGGCTTGGTTTCATTTGTTTGTCTGTTTGTCTGTTTGTCTGTTTGTTTGTTTGTTTGTTTGCTTGCTTGCTTGCTTGCTTGCTTGCTTGCTTGCTTGCTTGCTTGCTTGCTTGTTCGTCGGTCGTTCTTGGGCCAGAAATGACAAGGAACCAAAATTAAACCCATGGAATCCATCGATCTTGAACCACACAGACCGAAACATGGATGGCTGGGTTCTTGGGTTTTGAACTCAATTGGGAAGAGTTATGTGCTTATCAGTGGAAGAGTTGGTTCACTTGTATCCACATCGGTTCCAAACCTGTTGCCAAGTAGAATCAACATGGAACCAGAAAAGCCCCCCAAAAAACAACAGAACAACTTGTCAAGCTGCCGGGGAGTAGATGTTTCACCCGGCAGAAATCGGCCGCAGCCTCCCTTTCAGAATTTCAGGCGCCTCCAGCGCCTGCGCCGGCGCCACCGACGCGCTCCGGTGCGGACGCTCAAACACCCGGGAGCGGAGATCAGGGCTGGTCTCAAAGTTGTGTTTTTTGCTTGAACGATGGAAGCGGATAGGGGGGTTGTGGGGCTTCCAACAAGTCTAAGAAGCTTCGGCAAAAGGACCCGGACGCAGCAAAGCGATTCATGGAACGTGTTGAGTGCAAGGCAATTTGGCCAAAAACGAACAAGAAACATTTTTGATGGTCATGAAACCAGTTCGGGATTTCTTGCCAGACCCATACCGCTGCTTTGGTTTCCTTTTTGCGTCCTTCTTCAACCAACTAACAAGGGCATGTCCCCACAATGCGATCACTGGCTTCCTCATTCTGCCCGGCTGCAACTCCAGTAAATCAGCGTCAGCTGGTTGGGGTATCCGAGGTTGACTGTTCATGCGGGATCGACCAAAGACTCTTACCCCACTCATGTCTCGTGTCATGTCGCTGCGGTATCACTGGAAGGGGCAGCCATTTTCTGCACAGGAAGTGGCCGTGTCTCAGAATGGTGATATTTCATTTTGGTGTCCCTTGAAAAAAAACAGAAGGGTGCCAAGCCTAAAAAACGACACTAGTCTGGAAAGTCAGGCAGATAAAATCCCGTATGAAAGTCACATGGATCCTTGAATTTCCGGCACTTGTAGATCGGTCTCTTCGAAACCGGACCCCTTTTTGAGGGGAGTTTCAGCAAGTACCACGCAGGACGAAGCCAGAGCTCGCATTGTGGGGCAAGAAATCCCAGAATTGTTTCTTGTTTGTTTTTGGCCACGTTGCCTTGCACTCAACACGTTCCTTACTCTTTGCGCAGCGACAGGATAGGAGACATGAGTTGGGGTAGCAGTCCCCGGTCGGTCCTTAATGAACACCACCTCCCCGGTAGCAACCCCGGATACCCCAACCAGCTAAGACTGGTTTACCGGCCCTGTCTTGGCTTGATCCCTTGCGGGTTTGCCTTTAAATGGGGAGAAACTCCCCAAATAGAAGTGGTTTTCCTTTGGCACTCCTTTAACACAAACCGGTCTATGGTGAGTTTGGGTTTTGGGACATTGGGGGACTCACATTTTTCGCGAACACCAGGGGACCAATTCATTCCCCGTTTATAACCGCAAAACTGGGCAACCACGCCTCATTCGGCGATCACACTGCCGATGTCCCGATTACCCAACAAAACGTGGCCCTTTTTTAACATCGCCTTTTGAGCAAATAAGAACAGATCCGGAACACACTCGAGGGAAACTTCAAGGAACCCTTGCGATCGGGGTTTCAGAGGTTTCCCCTGCGATTCGCCCTTTCGAAGACAAGCTGGCAGGATTTGGACAGGCTTGGGGTGCGAACCACTTTCTGAGGGCTGCAAGAGGCCTTCGTGAAGCTGCCGGGCTTTTTCTGATTCCGGTTCTTTGGGCGGCCACACCCTCGCGGCCGGGACTTAGGCCGAGACCGCACACAGCCCTGCCCTCGGCTTGTCAGCCACATGTTCGAGTTAAGGAATGGCTGCAGGTTTACTGCTTCTGGTGCTGTTTGGAGCATATGGTGTTGTTTGGAGCATATTTGTTCTTTCTCGTCGGAAGATGTGTGCCTCTTTACTCAGTTTGGTACCCAGCGACGGTCTCCATCACGAGC